GGAGGCTGGGCCAGGCCGGAGGAGGAAAGGAAGGGTGCTGAAGAAACCGGGCCATGTAAGAAGGACGTCACTTCCTCGCCCCGCAGTGTGGAGTCACAGTCCAGAGCTAGGACGAAGTTCACAGGAAGAAAGAACAGCTAAAGGGTACTGGGTCAAAGCAGGGATACGCAGTGTTTTTCTTCAAAAGGAAATGGCATGAGCCCAACCAGTGTGAGACATGTCCAACCTCACTGCTGAGACAAGTCAATGAAAAACGGGCTTTTTGTCTTTTGCCTCTACTTATGGACCTAGCAATTCCACTTAAAAAAATCTCAACCAGGGGTGGTGGCACATGCCTGTAATCCCAGCACTTGGGAGGCTGAGGCAGGGGGATCGCCGTGAGTTTAAGGCCATCCTGGGCTACAAAGTGAGTTCAAGGCCAGCCTTGAACTACATAGTTCAACCTACATACTAAGACCATCTCAACCCCACCCCTCAAATCGCTCCTAGCCAGTTGTGGTGACAGTATATGCTTGTAATCCCAGCACTCTGGGAGGCTGAGGCAGAAGAATCCAACATTTGAGCCCAGCTTGGGCAATTTAGTGATTTAGCGAGACCCTGTCTCAAAAGTTAAAAAATACAGGGACTGTGGATGCAGCTCAGTGTAAAGGCCCACGGTACAATCCCTAGTACTGTACCGCAAACAATAAATACATAAAAATAAAACCCTCTCCTAAGGACGTAATCAGGTGTGCCCAAAGAAATGCAGCCGAGTGCGAGGCGAGGTAAAATGGCAAATGGTCCACAGGATGGAACAGTACGAGGCTCCTGAAGGCCAGGCAGCACACAGGGAGATGTTTACAATGGTGCACCAGGCCGAAGGTTTTGAAACTGCACATACAGGCATATTTGGAGACAGTGTGGGTTCAGTTCTAGGCCACCATGATAAAATAAATGTCAAAATAAAGCAAGTTGGCTGCACATAATGGCGCACACCTGTAATCTCAGCACTAAGGAGGCTGAGGCAGGAAGATCACCGTGAGCTCAAGGCCAGCCTGGACTGCACAGTGAGACCCTGTTTTTTTTTTTTTTTTTTTTTTTTTTTTCAAAAAGCAAGTCACTCCAATTCTATGGTTTCCCCAGTGCATATAAAAGGCATGTTTGTCAGGTGTGGTGGTGCACACCTGTAGTCCCAGTACTCGGGAGGCTGAGGCAGGAGGATCGTTGTAAGTTCGAGACCAGCCTAGGCTACAGCATAACCTCAAGGCCAGCCTGAACTGCAAAGCGAGACCCTGTCTCAAAAAGACCAAAATAAATAAATAAATAAAGGGCATGTTTACAATAGGTGGTAGTTCATTAACTTATTAAGGATTATGACTGAAAAACTAGGGGCTGGGGATTTAGCTCAGCGGCACAACGCCTGCCAGGCAAGCACAAGGTCTTGAGTTCGATTCCTGGTAGCAGAAAAACAAAACAAAACAAAAAAAGACTGAAAAACTAATGGTGGCACACACCTATAATCCCAGCTACTTGGGAGGCTGAGGGAAGAGGCTCGAAGGTTTGAAGCCAGCCTGGGCAATGGCAACACTTAAGAAGTAAAAAAGGGCAAGGCGCGCTGGCACGAGGCTGAACAGGAGCACGGAAATTCCAGGCCAGCTTAGGCAACATAGAGAGATCCTGTGTCAGAATAAGATAAAATGGTTTGGGGGCTGTAGCTCAATGGTAGAGCACTTTCATAACATGGGTAAGGCCCTGGGTTCCATCTCTAGCACTGCAAAAATAGATACATACACATAGATAGATATAGATATAGATATAGATATAGATATAGATATAGATATAGATGAAGCAATACCTGTGAAGCCCAGTAAAGAAAGGTACCTGTATAATAGCGTATAAAATAACACTGTATAAAATACACACATCTATCATAGAAATACAACAGGAGGACGTTATACCAAAAAGCTAACACGGTAATGCAGTGCTTTACTCTAACAGGGGAGCAGCACGGCCAACTTTGGTGTGTGCAGGTAGGTCGTGTTCCCCACATTCTGCATCGCATATGTGTTGCTTGTAATGAGCTGATGTTGCTTTTAAAATGAGCTGATTGATGAGATCTAGGATTTTTCTTCAACAACCAGACACTAAGGTCTTTGCACCATCTGGAGTCTAGCAATAAACTCCTAACTATGTATTTCCCCCTGTGATCTTTTCTTCTTTAGCCCAGGCAGGTAGATGGGCCCAGGAGAGAGGCATAACTGAATAACAAAGTATCCAGCCATGGCACTTAACAAGCAAAACTACACAGGGCCAGGCACCACCTCCAGTTTCCACCCCACCTGTTTTTTGTTTTGTTTTGTTTTGTTTTTGAGCCAGGGTCTTGGCTGGCCTTGAACTTGCTTATGTAGCCCAGGCTGGCCTCAAACACATGGCGATCCTCCTGCCTCAGCCACCCAAGTGCTGGGATTATAGGTGTGCGCCACAATGCCCGGCTCCCACTTCTAATAATTGCTGAGCTGTGTGTCTGCTGTGACCGGGGACAGGACACTGGGTGTCTGCAGTCTACCAGGCACTGTGTTCGGCTGCATGTGGCCTTGATTCCCGGCCTGCATGTGGCCTCTGGGGAATCAAGGTAGGGTAGGTCCCTAGGGTAGTGTGTGAGGACTCGTGATCACTGCTTCCAGTCCAAGCACCCAAAGGCCCCGAACACCTGCGGGGGCCTCACACCAGGGCTACTGCTGCGTGCGCACAAGCCCTTCAAGACACTGAGAAGGGACAAAGCCAAAGCCAGCCCAGGGGTGCGTGTGGAGTAAGTCTTGTTGCATGTCTGCCCTGATCCTTGACCTTAAAAGCAGCTAAGTGTAAACTGTTCTTTATTCAAACCACCATTTGATTCTGTTGAAATCCCGCTGCTGAACCCAGAGAGAACAGGCTTTGCGGTGTGGGCGCTTGCTGTCAAGGACCGTTAATTTTCATTTTTCCACTGAGCTCAACCTCAGAGTTAGGTTGATTGCTACTCAGCAAGACGGTCCGCATTAGCGGAGGCTTTCACAGCGCAGATCTGTGTCCCCAAAGCACGATGTCTGTTGTACACATACTTTGGGGCGAGAAGCAAGGTGAAAACCAGACGTTGCAGCGGAACAGAGGAGAGCAGACTGCGTCCCGTGATCAGGGTGCTGCACCAGGGGCCGGCGGGGCGTGCGGCGCAGCTCCCCGCCCTCGCCTCACCGCAGTCTCCTCGGGAGTTCTCGCAAACGTTTCTGGAGGCTCCTCGCCTGTGCTCAGCTTTCCATGGCCGCGCTGTGGCTCATCTCATGCAAACAGAAAGCTCCAGGAAGCCGGAGACACACAGGGGTACCCGGGTAAAGGTCCCAGCCGCTTTTGGTGCAGGGCGCCCCCTGTCGGCCCCTGCTGGCATCAACATGATCACTTCTGTCCACATCCTTTTCTCCACGGCCTTGAGATAGGCGGTCAGCTGAAGCCTAATACACCGCTTTCGCTTGTGACCTCGGACTCCGCGAGCCCTTCCCTGAGCTGCAGGCTGCTCTGTGCGCCACTGAGAGATGTCTGCTCAAAGTCAGCCTCACCATCTTTCCTCAAACTCCATCTAAAGCTCCCCTTGACCCCCAAATACAGACCTGGCACGCAAGGACTTCCAAGGCAAACCCCAAGCTCCCTCTCTAAGTCTTTCTCTCCTCATCGCTCACATCTTAGGCTCTAGCCAGGCCAGACCCCTCGGCCCCGCCCCAAGCCCAATCACCGGAGACCGGCAGTGCCGCAGTCTGGTGCGAACTTTCTCTCCTCCCCTCCCTCTTTCCCCATTTATTTATTTATTTATTGGCCAATACAATTGCAGCTCCACAGACCTAGCTGCTTCTGGGTTTTGCCCTTCTCTAGTCTCTGTCCACTCACCAGCCAGACTGACCAGTCCATAAAGTGAATAACGCTCACTTTTCCTTAAAGCCCTCTAAGGCTTAGGGTAAGATCTGAGCTCCTCTCTCCAGCCTAGAGACCCAGCCTGATCCCGGCCCTGCACCCAAAGCTAAGGCAACCTCAGTGCTGGCTTCAGGAACGTCTCTAAAAAGGCCGGGCATGGTGGTGCATGTCTGTAATCCCAGCACTTGGGAGGCTGAGGCAGGAGGATCCTTGTGAGTTCGAGACCAGCCTGGGCTACAAAGTGAGCTTAAAAGGCCAGCGCGAACTGCATAGTGAGACCGTATCAAAAAGACAAAAATTAAAAAAAAAAAAAACAAAAAAAACCAAAAAACAAAAAACAAAAAACCCAAAGTCAGTTCAATCTGCGGGGTGATCAGATAGCTGTCCTCAGAACAGCTCATTGCCCTACAAGGCAAAGACTCACGAAGGCAACCGTTTCATACCCACGTTGTTTGTTTTGTCTTTTTGAGACAGGATCTCCCTATGCAGTTCAGGCTGGCCTTGAGCTCACTTTGTAGCCCAGGCTGGTTTCAGGAACTCGCAATGATCCTCCTGCCTCAGCCTCCTGAGTTCTGGGATTACAGTCATGCGCCACAGCCTGGCCTCTACCCACACTGTGTCCACCAGCTCTCTCAACATCAGTACAAGAAGTGTGCCCAGTCCCGATCAAATGCTCACAGGGAAGGCGGGGCCTTAACCCATTCTTTCTAGCCCCGACCTCCAAACCCCAAAAATACCCTAGGAGGTCAGAGGAGAGGCCAGCTGTCAAGGGTCTCCCAGGCCTCTGTGAAGGCCGGATAAACTGGTTCGGGCACCCTGGCGGGATGCGGACGGTCCAGTCCTGCGACCTGGTCGTCCCCTGGATTCCGGGGTGAATGGAGACCAAAGGCCTGGCCGAGCGCATAGCCCCCCCCTTCCCCCCCCCCGCCGAGACACTGAACGGTGGGCGGCCTAGGGGTCCTCAGAGCAAGGCTCTGGGACGAGGTAAGAGCATGGCTTGGGGGCGTCCTCGCGGTCCCTTTCCCTCGGGAGCCTGAAGCCGGGCGGCGCCCTCCGTGCGACCCACCTCTGCCCCTTGCGCCCAGGGCGACGGCGCTGGACCGCTACGGGCTGCAGAAGGCGGGCTTCACGCACGTGCTGAACGCCGCGCACGGCCGCTGGAATGTGGACACCGGGCCCGACTACTACCGCGACATGGACATCGAGTACCACGGCGTCGAGGCGGACGACGTCCCCACCTTCGACCTCAGCATCTTCTTCTATTCCGCGGCCGCCTTCATTGACTCCGCGCTCCGGGATGACCGCAGTAAGAGCCGCCCGCCCCCACTGAGACCACGCCCTCAGCCTGAAACCCCGCCCCAGTCCGAGACCACGCCCAACCAGAAACCACACCCCAAGCGCAGCCACGCCCTAATCTGAGGTCACAGCCAACCACAGACCAGGCCCCAATCATGGGCCACGCCCCCGAACCCAGGCTCGTTGTTGGGGCGGGTCTGCGTGGCTCTCAAACCTGGTACACTGGGTTTATTTGTGGTCCAGGAGAAGACGTCTGAGCCTGTGTGGTTTCAGGACGTGCTACACCAATGTGCTGCTGGTCGGGTTCTGGCCTTAATGGGAACTAGAATTAGAGGGTTAGCAGAAAGGTCTTAGGGCTGGGGATTTAGCTCAGCGGCACAGTGCCTGCCTGGCAAGCGCAAGGTCATGAGTTCGATTTCCGGAAACCGGAAAAAAAAACAAAAAAAAAAAAAAAAAAAAAGAAAGAAAGAAAGAAAGGTCTTGGTCTGAATTCCTAAGGAATTTTAGCCATCCTTAAAAAGGTAAGGTGGGGGCAGGACGGCCTGGGACCGCCAAGCTGGGACTGCGATGCACATTGTGCCTGGCCCCAAGCGCGACTTATTCCGGGGCTTTGATGCCAGAAAACCTTCAGGGAGCTGACCTGCAGGGGAACCCACGGGGAGAGTTTAAGTTCGGCTAGTAAGCAGCCAGGGCCACAGCCTCGCCTCAGCCTTTCCCAGGAACTTTCGGCGTGGCAAGGCCTCTGGTAGAAAGCTGACAACCTTGGCTAAAATATCGTCAAGAACCTGGGGTTTGTATCCACACTGCTCCAGTTTTCCCGCGTTAATGATCCATCTTTTAAATCTTGGTGCTAGCCCTTGTGCTCACAATGAATGCAGTTCTGGCCGCCCTAATTCCGCAGGGGCTGCAAGGCTGTTTCGGAGAGAGAGGTCCAGCCCAGCTGTGCAGCGGCTCAGCCCACAGAGGTACTGCTGCAGGGGCAGAGTTCAGAGCCCTCCTCTGAGGCCAGGGGGACTGCAGCTCCCTCACCTGTGCTCTGACTTCAGCCCTGCCGGGCGATGGCGTTACCCAGGGTGTCCAGTTACTGGGGGCCTTTCTTGCCTGGAGAGGTTGGGATTGCAAGGATCCGACTGGCCGACTGACTTGCTTTAGGAACTTGCAGCCTGGGGCTGGGCCTGGAGCAGTTCTGCTGGATAGTCCCAGACCTCAGTGGTCATCCCAGAGTGGCCCCGGCCCCCAGCCAGCCGTAGCCACCAAGTTTGTCACTGAGGTTCAAAAGCAAGGGCGCAGCGAAAACCCCGCGGCAGAGGACGCCGCCCCCCTAAGTCACCCTTTTAGGAGTCTGTTTAGGGACCATCTTTTGTGTCCCGTGCATTCTGGCTTCCCAAGTGGGAGCGAAACAGCAACCGGACCCTGACTCATCGGCAGGAGGTAAAATCCACCTCCCAGCGCCTGAAGTTAACTGAGAACACGTTGGACACGGAGGTCAGAAATCTACAGCTGCCCTGTCTCCTGCCCTTGCTCGCTGTTACTGGTGTCTTACGGCCCCTTAAGGGAAGGGCCCTGGCCCGCTTGGAGAAGGCAGGGCGGGGTTCATATTCCATGGCGGAGTCAGGAAGGACGCGAAACCCGCAGCCTCGGCGTCTCGGTGCAGTGACGGGAATATTTACCCTGCCGGTTCTAATGAGCAGCAGCGACACACAAAGCGCAGGAGCCCGCGCGTGCGCGGCAGCCTTGGGATGCCAGCAAGAAGGGAGGTCGTGGCCTGCGGAGCACGTCACCGCGCCAGCATGTGCACGCCATCACCAGGAAGCTTCCGGCCCTAACAGCAAAAGGGAAGAAAGACATTCCAACTTTGAACTTGGATGACACTCCCGCGGAAGTCTGTTTTAGGTTCCTGGCACCTCATTCCAGAGGCTGCCCCCACTGCCAGATCCGGAGACAGAGGTTTAAGCCCCGGCAGATCACCGAGCATCTGTGAGGCGGCGCCAGGCTGGTGTGCATGGTGACTGCTGCGCCAGGTGGGCGGAAGCACCCTGCAAAGAAGGATCAAGAAAGAACAGTGCAGCCGGGCGTGGTGGCGCACGCCTGTAGTCCCAGCACTCGGGAGGCTGAGGCAGGAGGATTGCTGCGAGTTCGAGACCAGCCTGGGCTACGAGGTGAGCTCAAGGCCAGCCTGAACCGCATAGTGAGACCCTGTCTCAAAAACCAAAACAACAAAAAGCTTTCTTTTTCAAACTAGGGCCTCAAACCCCAACCCTTCCAAACCAGGCAGGGTGAACACATGTGGGCCATGGGGTGTGGCTAGGGGTGCTTGTGGCTCAGCAGGGAGCCCCAGGTCCCCATCTGAGGGAGCAGCTTCGGCTCAGCCCTGGGAGTGCATCTTGTAAGAATCGGTGCAAACTCAGCAGAACTTCTAACTTTTCAGAATGTCTCTGATCTGGATTTTACTTTAAAATCAACCGTGTGGTAGGTGCAGGCAACAAACTGAAATTTCTTTTTTTTCTATTGTCTTTTTGAGACAGGGTCTCGCTATGCAGTTCAGGCTGGCCTTGAGCTCACTTTGTAGCCCAGGCTGGCCTGGAACTCGCGATGATCCTCCTGAGTGAGTGCTGGGATTACGGGCGTGCGCCACCGTGCCAGGCACACTGAAATTTCTTGAAGGGCTGCGAGCCATTGGCTGTCCACTGTCTTGTGCCAAGTGGCCAAAGCGACAAAACAAAGGGCTCGCTGGCGCCACAGCAGGGAGCCACTGACTCGGGGTGAAGTTGGTGACAGGTGCTCAGCCTGCCCGCCGCGTGCAGTGGCTGGCCTGCTTGTGTCAGTCACGTCCTGGCAACCAAGGGACACGGCGGTGGCATCACGGAGCCAGCCCTGGGCCCACGTTTCTTACAGGCCTGAGCCAAGAGGTGTGGACGCACGGTCTGTCCGGAGGGGGGCTCTCTCCCCGCCCCTGGTCTGTCCTTTGCTGCTGCTTTCAGCCAAGGGTATGCTGTCCCCACCCCCGCCCACTGTTTTCATTCATTTTTCCTTCCTTGCAGCGCTGGGGACTGCACCCGGGACCTCGCACGTGCTATTAGTTCACTCTTTTTAAAAAGCATTCCTGCCAGGTGCTCAGTGCCCGTAAGCTCAGCACTCAGGAGCCTGGGTCAGGAGAACTGCCTTGAATTCGAGGCCAGCCTGGGCTACGTAGTGAGTTCAAGACCAGCCTGGACTCTACAGCAAGACCCTGTCTCAAAAACAAAAACTAGACCTAAAACTAAAACTAAAACAACACGAGAAGCCTGCCTTCCAGCAGGAGGTGACTCTGGGGCTCCTCACAGGGCAGACTGTCCCTGAGGGCTCTAAGTGTCTCTTGCCCTCCGGCAAGTGCGCAGCACCCTGGCCCTGTCTCTGGGACGGCCACGCCCCCAGAGCTGCTCCGGCAGCGCGGCCCTTCTGTGAGCCCCAACGTTGCTGGGGAAGGTGTGTTCCAAGGTGGGAGGGGAGGCCCACAAAGGCTGCCCGAAAGCCAAGAAAGGAGGTCCCAGGGGGCAGGGGTAGCAGGGGACGTGCCCAGCTGGCGTGTTTCATGGGAGTGACAGCCTTACCTTCTGTCACCACGGACGGCATGTGATGGGGGAGCCGTGGAGATTCTGGACTGGGGCTTTCTCCACGAGATCATGAGAATTCTGTGAGCCAAAATAAGCCTTTCTGCCTTAAAAAAAGAATATGGGAATTCACCTTTTGGTGATGGAAAAATATCTAATTGAGACCAGCATGTCATAAAACAACTTCATGGATATGACTAGCATTTCTTTAAAAGAAAGTCAATAGATTAGAAAATATCAGCATGCAGCAAAGACACAGTTTATGAAACTTTTTCTTTTTTGAGAGAGAGTCTTGCTATGAAGTTCAGGCTTGCCTTGACCTCACTAGGTAGCCCAACCTGGCATCAAATTCGTGGTGATCCTCCTGCCTCAGCCTCCCTAGTGCTGGGATTATAGGCATGTGCCACCACATGCAGGTATTTTGTGAAACTTCTGTCTGACATGCACTTGTTGACAATGCTATGTAGCAGAACACAGGTTCCGTGTCACAGTGCTATGGGCTGTTTGATGACATGAAGAATCATCCCGGGAAGAGAAGGGATGACATGAAAACCCTGAGGGTCTTGTCCTGGTAGGCCCATGCACTAGGCGGGCTCTAGAGCGCCACCACGTGGACGCCAGAGGACATGGCGGCGTCTCGTGTGTCCTGTTTTTAGCCTGGCCCCGCTGTAAATCCGGCAGTGGCCAAACAGCTCCTGTCTTCTACATCTCCAGTTTTCTGGTTTCAGAAATCTTTGGCACATGCCTGTAATCCCAGCACCCGGGAGGCTGAGGCAGGAGGATTGCTGAGTTTGACACCAACCTGAGCTGCATAGTAAGTTTAAGGTCATTGCATTGAGAACCTGTCTCAAAAATAAAAAAAACAAAAAACAAAAACCCAAGAAACAAAACAAAACAAACCCATGTTCGATCTTGCACACTGAGGGCATCTTTTAGCATGATTTTGCAGTGGCCTGCACTGGCTATGTGAAAACACTGGTTCACTGAGTTATTTGGTTCTTCCAAATGTTGACACGTTTCATTGTAGATTACCAAAAGTCACATTTGTGATTGTCACCGCCCCTCTGAAAGGAAAAATCTTGTGCACACTGGGAAACTGTCAGTCTCCCAGCCATAGGCCCAAGTTTTCCACAATTCTAATTTTTGTTTGAAAGCTTGCATTTTACCCCTGCTAACAACCAAGTCCGTTGTTTTCTTTGTCACTTGATTTCCTTTTGAGAAGACTTCTGCCAGATGCCCAAGTCTGAATACCCGAGGTTTTTCATCATTTGTGCAATGATGGAAAGACGAGTTTCAGGAAAAGAGCAGGGATTCAGCCCACAACTCCGTCTCCTGAGAGCTTCCCCTGGAGACAGGCATTGTGCTTGGGATGCAGCCAGAGAGCCCCACGCGTGCGCCCCGTTCCATCGCGCGGAATCTTAAGAAGGAGACCCGAGGGCCGGCCTGGAGGAGATGCGTTTGTGCTGTTTCACTGAGGATATTCTTCGGGGCACTCGCCTTTGTCCCCCGATGGTGTGGGGTGGACAATGCGGCCATGGCGAGGAAAGCCGCTGCCTGTGCCGTGAGCCACGCCAAGGCCCCAGTTCTGCCCGTTGCTGCCTTTGTGACTGTCACAAAGGCCATGTCACACGCGTGTCAACGTAGTCAAAGAGGCGGCTGTCACCGCAGCACTGTTATGGAAATAGCGCTGACCCCGCGCTCTCCTGAGAGTGAGTGGGAGCCCCTGTCTCGCCTCCCACTTGGGGAGCTGACGCAGAGGCGACGCTGTAGCTCATTTTGCTTGTGAGAACGTTCTTCCCTTGCCTTTGGCGTGCAGCAGAGTAAAGCTTCTCTTTCTTTCCTTCGCCGTTCCTTCCATTCTTCTTTCTTTGCACTGGGAGTCAAACCAGGGCCTTCACACTGAGCTACATCGCCAGCCCTTTTTATTTATTTATTTGTTTGTTTGCATTTTGAGACAGGTTCTCGCTTTATGGTGCACACTGGCCTTGAACTCACGGTGTAGCCCAGGCTGGCCTCAAGTTTGCAGTGATCCCCCTGCCTCAGCCTACTGAGTGCTGGGATTACAGGCGGGTGCTACATGCCTGGCTTCTTTTTATTTTATTCTATTTATCGATTTAAGGACTCTCTAAGGTGATAAACTGCCCAGGCAGGGCTCAAACTTGAAATCCTCCTGCCTCAGCCTCCCAAAGTGCTGGGATTGTAGGAATATGCCATGATGCCTACTTTCATTTTCACAAAACCTGACCGTGTGGTTTTTACTGAGTTGATTTTGTTTAATACTAATCTGATTTTGTTCCCTTGCTCAATAATTGAGGAAACTGAGGTTTCATAGGCTGAGTGACTTACCTGTTACTCACCCAGCGGGCACTTGGTAGCAGAACCAAGTCTGGAATGCAGGTCTACAAGATGGGGGTCAGGGTTCTGCAGGCTCCCAGGCCACAGGGATGCTTTTCCTTACTGGGCTGCGGGCTGCATGCAGGGCCTCAGGACTGGGCAGGGCGGAATCCAGAACGCCCTGCACACGGGGTGGAATCCAACGGCACTGCCGTCATGCAGAACACATTCATCTCTCTCAGCTCCACCTGCAGCCTGCGCAGGGCCTGGACGCTCCAGGGTCTCCCCAGTGAGGGACAAAAACCCAGAGAGGGAAGTCTGCAGACACTCATCCTGAGACTGCCCGGCCACACTGGTACAGGGAAGGAGCAAGGTGTAGGAAAGGTGGAAACCCTGCTGCCCCGGGGCAAACAGAGAACTGTGTCTCATGGCGCCTATGTACAGAACTTCCCCTGGACGAAGCGGTCAGTAAGACTCACTGCTCCTGGGAGCCTTGGGGTTCGGTGGAAGGCTTTTCAACGGGCATCCTCTGGTACCCTATTTTACATACATCAGTGCTTATTTATGTTGAATATAAATATACAAGATGTGGTTGAAAACTAGAGTTTACATAGAATTATTTATTACAGTAAAAGACACACGATCACTTATCCCCTTTCTCACCACTTTCTGAAGCAGTTCTGGACGTGCTCTCTCGTGAGTCTCTTTGGTCATGCTGCTGTGGCTGACTCAATGTCCCGAATCCATTCTACACATTTCTCTTTCATGTCATTTTGACCTTGGGGAGGAGCCAGATGTTGCACAGTGCCAGATCCAGAGAATAAGGCAGATGAGGACACACCAGAATGTTTTTATGAGCCTGTCTTTCCCCTGGATGGCGCTCGGCACGCCAGTCACTGTATTTCTGATCAGGTAAAGACACTCACGAAAGAGGACTTCCAGAACTGCTTCAGAAAGTAGTAAGAGCAGTGGGGTAAGTGTGTTTGAAGGGAGGGGGAGTATTTGGACATAGATTCATGGCAATGTGTCTTTTACTGTAATACTTTTTTTTTTTTTTGCCTTTTTGAGACAGGGTCTCACTATGCAGTTCAGGCTGGCCTTGAGCTCACTTTGTAGCCCAGGATGGTCTCAAACTCGCAACAATCCTCCTGCCTCAGCCTCCCGAGTGCTGGGATTACAGGTGTGTACCACCTGTAATACATTTTTTTTAATTGAAATTTACCGCATTTCTGATCATCCCATGTGTTCCCCAAACCCATAATCATTTCTCCAGCACACTGACTTAGGAGTTCTCATGTAGAGGTACTTGGCAGGGGAGGAGCACATGAACTCAACTCACGTTCTTCTTACTGAAGCAGCAATGGCAAACCTGACATTTAGGAGCCTTTCGTGTGTGCCGAGTGTGCACAAAGTGTGTTCTACACAAGTCACCCGAGTCCCTGGCAGTGCCCTTGCAGGGGGTAGCAGCACTGCCCGTTATGCGGCTGGGGAGCTGTGGCGCAAAGTCAGGTTACAGGCGGGTGGGGGAGAGCACGCATCGGGCCGGGCTGCCTGTCTGGGCCGCCGGGCACTTCAGCCAGCTTTTCTTCTCCCGCCCCCTGCAGATAAGATCCTGGTTCACTGCGCCATGGGCCGCAGCCGCTCGGCGACCCTGGTCCTGGCCTACCTGATGATCCACAGGAGTATGACCCTCGTCGATGCCATCCAGCAAGTGGCCAGGAACCGCTGCGTCCTGCCCAACAGGGGCTTCCTGAAGCAGCTCCGAGAACTGGACAAGCAGCTGGTGCAGCAGAGGCGACAGCCCCGGGGCGGGGACGGCGAGGAGAGGCTGTAGGGCACAGACTTGTGACGAGGGGGACAGCTGAGAAGGGCGCCGGCCTGTGACTGAGAAGGGGCCGTGAAACCAAAGGTTGATTTTCTTCCAAGCTTGCTAATCTTGCCAGCGTGTGCCAGGGACGGGGAGGGCTCAGAGCCGCCTGCCGGATGCGTCCTGGACTCTGTCACGGCGCCATGGCTAGACAGCCCCAGCGGAGCTGGCCGCAGAGGACTCCTCTGCAGAAAATCCCCTGAGTTTTAAGGTGCGGCAGAGGCGGATTTGAAAATGTGTGGGCATTGTGTTGTGATTAAATGCTTGCCTTTGTCATGAGGAAAATCATATTCTTACAAAAAATAATTTAAAAACAGAACTTGAGGGCTGGGGATATAGCTCAATGGCATAAGCGCCTGCCTGGCAAGCGCAAGGTCGTGAGTTCGATCCCTGGTACTGCCAAAAAAAAAAAAAACTTGATTTTCTAACCAAGAATGCTTATGGGAGAGCATGCCCAGGTTATGAGGGGCCCCTGGGCACCCCGCGATCTTTACCCACGGAACCTGGGCGGGATGGGGTCACCATCCAGCGAAGCTGCCCACCTGGTGGCAGGCCGCGGGACCCTTCCTCACGGAGCTGCCAGCATCTGGACAAACCCAATGCACTGTGGTAAATGTGGGCCAGCAGGAGTTGGGCTTTGTTGTTTTTTTTGTTTGTTTGTTTTTTCTGGTACGGGGAATTGAACTCACGACGTCGCACTTGCCAGGCAGGCGCTGTGCCGCTGAGCTAAATCCCCAGCCCAGGGATTTGGGCTTTGTAACTGGAGCGGGGAAAGGAGGCACTTTTTAGGGTATGGGGATTCAGGGAAGTGCCTTTCATTTTGATCCCAGTCAGAGCGAGGCGGGCTGGCTTGGTTTCGGGGTTTGCAGATGTGTTTCCCACAGGCTGGGCAGCCAGGCAGCCGGGTGAGCCACCAGGTTGCTCGATTTTTGACTCTGGAGAGAACAGTGGCGTGCAGTGGGTAGGTAGCGGTGGTTTATGGAACCAGGAACCCTGACCCTGCCAGAACCCAAAGAGAGATGCTGCTGGTGGAGACCATGAGCCTGAAGCAGACACCACTCAGAAAAGGCGGAGCGTATGGGGAAGGCCTCTTCACAGACTAAGGCAAGGGGTCCAGTGCTCCAGTCTGGCTGTGGTTTTTTGTAGGAGAGGAAGTTCTTGCTGGAGGGAGGCCGGAGTCCAGGGGCTTGGCAGTGGGGTAAAGCCACCTGACCCTGCAGGGGGAAGGCCTGTGGCCAAGACCTTGTGGCTGAGCCAGTTTCCTGGGGCTGCCCTGGTAGCGGGGCTCTGGGATGGTCACCCTGGCCCAGGGGAGCCTGGGTCCTTCACACAGACACAGAGAGGACTTTCACTGAGATGCCTGTGGGAAGAATACCAGCCTTCTAATAAGTTAAAGCCAGGGACACCGCAAGGGAGCCGCAAAGCACAAAGGCAAAGCTGATGGAAATGGAACTATGTAGCGATTGGCCTCTCTGGGTGCAAAGATTGAAAAGTTCCTGGTGAACCAGTGACAGCGCCACACTGGACAGCGGCCAGGCAGGCTCAGCCGCGACCCTCTGGGGAGAGAGCACTTCGGGGTGTAACAACCCAGGACCACGGAACTGCTCACTTCCTGGGGCGGGATGCGAAAGAGACGCAGCCCCAGAGGACCTGGGCCATACTGACCCGAGCTGGGCTCCCCGAGAAGCATCTGGTGGCTCCCGGTGTCAGCACCTCTGAGGTCTGCTCTGGTCGGTAGGCAGAGACAGCCAGTACTTCTCTTTCCATGAAGTATCTGCAGTGAAGTGAATTTTCTCCCCGCCACCTCCCTCTGCCTCCCAATCCTGTGGGGCCACAGCAGTAGCAGCAGCAGGAGCAGCAGGAGCAGCAGGAGCAGCAGCAGCAGCAGCAGCAGCAGCAGCAAATTCGGTGACGCAGTCTGGTCTCCGGTGACTCTCAGGAACTGCACGTTTTTCCAGCAGCGTTTCATGTGTTCACAAGTAAAATGTTCATTTGGCTAAGTATTTATTGAGAACTTACCGTGTGCAGGGTATGGCGGGCCAACGTGAAAACAAAGCATAGGTTGGAATACAGTGTGCTGAGGGAAACGTGCTGGGATGGAGGAAAGCAGGGAGCATGGCGGACGAGGCCACCATAGGCAGGCTGGCTTGGGACACCTGAGACTTCCAAGTGGGGAGGAAGCAAGCTAGGCTGACGCAAGGCTGGTCAGGGATGGAGGGGTGGGAAGAGGGGTGGAGAGGCTAGGTGCAAGGAAAAACCACAGGGGGGTTTTAGCAGGGGCACGGTGTAAGCTAGATGTGGTGGCCCATACCTGTAGCCCCAGCACTCAGGAGAGGTATGGTGGCCCATACCTGTAGCCCCAGCTGAGGCAGGAGAATCACCATGAGTTTGCCTGGGCTACAGTGAGTTCAAGGCCACCTTGGACAATATAGCAACACCCTGTCTCATAATAAAAACAACTCCCTCAAATAAATGCAATCACCCTGAAAGAAAAAAATCACTTTCGTCCTAGGATGGGGAGTAAGCTGTAGGGCATGAGGGAGGAAGGCAAGACCAGTTAGGCTGAGGACAGGAGAGGGCAGGTGGCCCGGGCTGGTGGACAGGAGACTGGTGTCAGGGCTTGTTACAGAATCAGGCAGGAAGGTGGAGAGGACCTGCTAAGAAAGGAGGAGAGGACTTGGATCTTGGTGGCGCCGAGTTCTGAGGTGGGGGGCTGGAAATCTCCACTTCCGTAAGTCATGTCCACAAGACCTGGGTGTCTCAGGCCATCCTGGACTCTGGAGCTCACAGGAACGTCCCCAACTGGAGCTGCTTCTGGCTGCCATCTGCAGAGGTGGACCTTGAAGTCATCACACTCGGTAAGGCGGAGAGGGAGATGTGGCCGGGCCTCTCTGCTGAGAATATAAACACTTACGGCCAGGCGTGAGTGGGCAGGGCAACCCCCAGGACAGGGCACAGAGAGGGCAGCGGACGCTACCGAAGCCCAGGCACTGCTCCGAGGCAGCAGTACTCACTCTGGGATGTGACAGTGCTGTAGAGCGAAGGCACTTCTATTCATACGGGGCCCAAATTTTTAGTGTCACGTACTCATTAGCCAAGTCTTTTAAGTCATGGAGGTGACAAATTATGGCCTTTCCACAAGGCACGACGTTTAGGGAGAGGCAGGGATCTGGAGAACCGGATTTGCTTTAGCTTATGCATCTTGGCTGAGCACATCAGGGTATTAAATTAGCGCCTCTGTGCCTCCATCTCCCGATCTGTAGACTGGAAGCAGCACGGGCACAGGGCGGGTGGGCAGACCCAGGGGAGCACTGTTTGTAAAAGCTGCCTACCACGTCCGGAAGCAGCACACCAGCGAGGGCTGATGCCTGCGCATATGGCCAGGTGTATGTGAGCTATTAAAGTGGGGTTGGCCGGGCGTGGTGCCGCATGCCTGTAATCCCAGCACTTGGGAGGCTGAGGCAGGAGGATTGTTTTGAGTTCGAGACCAGCTTGAGCTACAAAGTGAGCTCAAGGCCAGCCTGAACTGCATAGTGAGACCCTGCCTCAAAAAAATAAATAAATAAATAAAAGTGGGGTTGGCAGCTTGACAGGCGATCCCTTGTTACAACTTCTACAGAGTGAGTGCAGGACACATTACTGCTGATTTTCAAGAGGTGGCCGCGAATGAACCCTCACGCACTGACTGGACTCAGCTCCAGCGAAGCCCGCTCTGGGACGCCTGGTGTCCCCTATAGGTCTGAAGTGATGTCCCCAGTGGGAGCGCATGGGTTTGGAGGGCAGGTGCTCGGTGGCCATCTCCCCACTAGATGAAGCCTTTCTGGATGTCGGGCCTGCAGTGAGACCCAAGGCATCCCCAGGGCTGTTCAGATGTGGTCTGAGAAAGCAACTGAGACGTATCCACAAGCTCCTTCGGGGACCGTGAGGTGGGCAAGGGCCGGCAACGCTGGAGCCGACAGCCTCCAGACGCCAGGGCGTGATTTACAGCCACAGCCATGGGAATAGAGGGGACTCTCAGCCCCCAGAGAAGCAGCACAAGAGGAAAGGGACAGTTTCAAGATGCGCCCCCGCCTGCGGCCCCTTTTGCTACAATAGCCTGAGCGGGGTCTCACCGGAAATCCTCCCCACCCGTGACAGGTATGTATTACCCCAGAACTTGCAGGTGCAGAGGGAGGAGACCAAAAGGTTAACTGGATCGTGACCCCACTGTGCTCGGAACTGGGGAAGCCAGTGATGCTGAGCAAGAGCCGGGCCACCCGCAGCTCTGCGGCCCAGGTGTGCGCGCACTGTCCTGCCTCGGCAGAGTTCTGACACCCGGTGAGCTGTGTGTCTGGGAGCCGCACAACTCCTGATTGCGTTGTGTCCAGCCCACGGGTGTGACTTGCTTAGCAGAGAGCTGTGTGCACGCGCTGACATTTTCAGACCACAGTGAGCCATTTTCACCCAACATTCATTTTCAGACTTGTTACTTCAATAACAAAATGTTTTAATTCTCAGGCAAGGCTTTCTCTGAATCCTATAAAATGTTGGTGAATTTTTTCTTCTTTTTGGTCTGAACTTTAGCTTCTAAAGAAAACATACACTCATTCACAACAAAGCAAAACTTTCACACATTTTTAAGGGACATAAAATTTCAGACATACAATCCCGAGCTGGGTGCTTCTGCTGCCATGGCCCTAAGCCCAAAGGGGAAGTTTATACAGACTGTACAAACAAGGCAACTGGATATCCGTGCAGGATCTCTTTGCAAATGAAGATCAAAGTCAAAAAGAAAAAAACAAATTCACTTTATTTTAAAGACAATGATTGGCATACAGAAGGTATGCACTAGCATAAAATAAACTTTCATGAAAAGCATTAAAATCCATTATAAATTAATTTATTAAATAGGTATTTGGTATATGTGATGGTTTTATTAGATATTACTCTTATTTATTGCCAACCCCTCCCCCAAAGTCAAAAACAAATCAGAAAATCTCTTCACTCCAATTTACACTAAATAATTTATTTTCCCGAAATGTGTATGTGTTCTGAGATGTGACACATGATACAGTTCCATTGGTCATTCTCCATCAATCATAATATGACAGGACACAAGAGGCTAAAAATGGCTCATCATAATTTATTTTATGTTAAAATGTACAGCTTTTTTTGTTTTTGTTTTTTTGTTGTTTTGAAGTAACTGACTAAAAAGAGGACAGATAAACGCCAGAGTGTGGCTGGCTCCTATTTATACAAGGGTTATGCCGCTCCTGCTTGGCCCTTACTGTCACCCTGTA